GTCCACATAATTCGGTCCTGTCCGTCAGTATCAGAAGGAAGGAGGATATTGTTGATGCGAGCTTGGATGTGGACTGGAAAAATGTGTTGAAAAGCATCCCACTACCAGCTACCTGATGATGAAACGAGATCAGATACCACCACTTTGTTATCAACCCGCGTTGAGTTAGCAAGAACATAGGATGAGAGAGCAGCACACCCCGGGACCCACGGGTCTTCCAAAAAACGAGTGGATTTCCCATCGCCTAGCACAATCCTGGAGTGTTTAAGCATCACTGGTCAGGACGAGCTTATGGCTTTCTAGAGAGAAGAGCTATTTCGTGTTGCAGTGATAGCATGCACGATACTAGGCTCCACCTTATATTCACTCCTTAATACTTTAGCCCAGAGTGCGCCAGGATTGGAAAAGATCCCGTATCCAACTTTCATAATAAATGCCCTGTTAAAGTTTTTCATTTTCCTTAGACCCAGGCCGCCTTGATCTTTATTCATGCACAGTTGATCCCACGCAACCAGATATGGGCGTTTAGTTGATCTAGTTGAGTCCCACACAAAGCTCCTAATTTGTTTTTCAATCTCATCACAAACTCCAAGGGGAACGACTGAGACTTGCATCATGTAAGCTGGTATAGCTGAGAGAACAACTTTAGAGAGAGTAATTCGACCAGCCAGGGAAAGACTAGTGTGATTCCAAGCGTTAATCCTAGAGTGAACTCGATCTAGGATGTGACTGAATGTCGCCTTCCCAATTCTTCGGTGCTGAAGTGAAATACCCAAATACTTCCCAAGGTCCAATGTCCTGGTAAAGCCCAACTCAGCATTTAGATCTGCGGCCAAAATATGGTTCACATTCCGTGAGAAAAAAATCTTTGTTTTTTCATTATTCACCTTTTGACCAGAAGAGGAACAGAAAGCGTCTAACACCGCAGAAATGATGGGATGCTTCTGCACAAAGAAGAAGGTCATCTGCAAAGAAAAAATGAGAAATGGGAGGGGCATTCCTTCGTAGCATGATTGGCTTCCAGTACTTTTGTTTTACTGCACATGAAATGAGATGACCAAGTCGCTCCATGCAAAGGACAAATAAAGATGGGGATAAAAGATCACCCTGTCTAAGCCCCTTGGATGGAAGAAACTCCTGAGTTGTGGATCCATTCCAAAGAACGTTCATCGTGCTGGAAGAGACGCACCACATAACAAGGTTTATGATATTTGGAGGAAACCCTATATCCTGCAGAGTATCTCGAAGAAAGACCCAACTAATTCTGTCATATGCTTTTTCTAGATCCATTTAATCATCATCCAACCTTTAGCACCTTTCTTCGACCTCATGGAATGTATAATTTCCTGCACTATAATTATATTATATGTTCCTTGCCTTCCCTTGATGAAGCTACATTGGTTAGGCATGACAATTTTGTCTATCTGTAATTTCAAATGGTTAGCAATAAGTTTAGTAATAGTTTTATAAATAACATTACAAAGGCTAATGGGCCTGAAGTCTTTAAGGGACTGGGGCGAGTCTGTCTTCAGGATCAGACAAATAAGAGTTTGATTGATTTTCCGAACGTTGTGGGGATTGTTGAACACGTCTTTCACCAGTGTGCAGACAGAACTCCCAACAGTTTCCCATTGAGACTGAAAAAATAGACTATGAAGACCGTCCACCCCCGGAGCTTTGTGGGGTCCCATGGAGAAAACTGTACCCCTAATCTCCTCATTTGAAGGTATACTGCTAAAATAAAGACTGAACTCTTGCTCAAGGATGGGAAAACAGCCTCTAATTAGAAGCCCAGGTCTTATAGAATTATTTTCTTTAAACAAATTTCTATAATACTCAATTTCCATATCCATCAGCACAAAAGGTTCCCCGATCCATTCACCAGCATCATTTTTCAGTGCATCAATGCGATTCCTCCTTCTTCTGCAACTGTCGTAGAGTGGAAGAACTTCGTGTTGCGGTCTCCATATTTTAGCCAGCTCGCCCTAGATCGCTGGAACCACGTAAGATCCTCCCGAATATAAATGAGATTCAACTGATGCCAGATATCTTTCTGGAGAGTTTCTAGAGCATGGCAAGGGTAATGACTAAGACTGCGGTCAATTCCCCAAAGTCTTGCCTGGAGATTATTTTTTAGCTTAGCGTCTTCCCTAAAGCAATTATTGTGCCAGCGTGTTGCATTCGACCGAAAAGATGCACTAGCCGTGCCCCAACCTGTATCCCTATTCCAGCACTCCTGCACAAAACCAGGAAATTCCTCATGAGTGAGCCAGGCTGTCAAGAATCTGAAAGGACAGTTCCCTCCGGTTGATGCAGAGGTTGCCCCTCCCAGAGAAGAATTGGTCGTTGATCAGAGCTGTATTGTGGAAGGTGAGTCACAATATCATTAATTATTGATAAATTTAAGTTTAGTTACTTAAATACACCGAATATCATGCACAATTTAGTTACTAATAAATTTAATTGTATTTTTTTTTAAGTTTACTTAAATACACCCAATATCATGCATAATTTATTTACTTGTATTAATTATTTTTCATGAATTTAACACTTATCATAAATATATGTATATATATAATTTGGGGGGATTCAAAGACCAGACCACGTTCTCAAGCCTAATACAATGTGGAGAAATGGGATGCAGGGGGATTATAAAGTGAGCTGAAGATATCGGAACATATGAACTTTGAAGAACAGATTATTCAATCACGAAGAAGCAATTTTAACATTCATGCAAGCTTTTTGAAATACATTAATATTTAGGTCTTATATTTTTTGGTTTCTCGGAGTATCCGTTAATCCATGTATATGCGACTAATTTTACTCATATACGAAAGTTAAGAGTTTTTGTTTCTGTTTTTTGTGAATGCCGGAGCAAGAGGGTAAACAATTAACAAGGAAATTCACTTATTTTACGAAGAAAATCCAGAGTTTCTTCTCTTCCAGTCTTGCCCGCGTAACTACGTTGTTTCTTACCAGAACTTTGCTATTAGATAATCAATGGGCTTTAGCACAGATCAAACAATTTATCTTTGTCAGAATAAGGTCAAGCTGTAATGGCTAGTTATTTTATCAGTTTTGACTAAGCACCATAGAGGGTTCCTTTGGCTTATCAGAATTCATATCCTTGAAAAAAAAAAAAAAGGTTTAGGTGCAATGCATTCTTAGTAGAGACAGAAAATAGCAAATACCAAATGTAGTTCAAATGCAACAAGAATCTGAATTACTAGATTTTTCATTATGTAGTTCATTCCAAATAGCACATGTTATATATATGGTAAACTTATACCGCACCATAAATACTCAGAAAACAAAGAAGCAGCAGAAGTAGGTGAATTGGAAATGAAAGACACTAATAACACTACTTGAAAAATCTATATTTGCGACAGAATTTTTCCGTCTAAAAATACCCCGTCAAAAGCCAATGGAATTTCTTTTTCCGTTGAAATTTGCAATTGAAAAATTTTTTGTTGAAAAGTTCGATGTCAGAAGCCTTACTTTTCTGTTGACAAATAAAGTTGTAATATAATATTTATTTAATGAATTTCGTCTAAAACTTTAATGAAAAATATTTTTGTCGAAAATATCCGTCACAGTTTGCAAAAAAATTTAATTAGAATTCCTTTAAAATTTTGATAAAAAATAATTCCGTCAAAAAATTCTTCACAGTTTGCAACGGAATTATTTTAAAATTCCGTCAAAAAATGCAACAAAAAATATTTCTGTCAAAAAGTTGCGTCTCAGTTTGCAACGGAATTATTCTAGAATTTTGTCGAAAAATGCAACGGAAAATATTTTTGTTTAACAGTTGCATCTCAGTTTGCAACAGATTTTTTCCTGAATTTCGTCGAAAATAATATTATTAATTTTTTAAAAAGCATATATTTCATATGAATTTCAATTCAACAAACACATAATAGTATACCTGATAAATATTTGGTAATTTCATACAAATAATTAATACACATCCAAACTATCATCAATGATAAAAAATACCATACATAGTAAAAGGTATGAACATGTGGTAATTTTATACAGATAATACACATCCAAACTAACATCAATTACCTAATTAAACACCATAATAATGAAAATTACGAAATATATACAAGTCAATATGACACATACAAATATCTCAAAATAAAAATACTACTGATTATCCTAAGAGTATAAAGCAAAACGACTAAAAAAAATGAATAGAGACAAATGTTGAATGACTGAAGTATTTGCAAAATTGGTAAAAAAATAAAATAACATCTTATATTTTTACCAGGCAGCTCTCAAATCAATGTAATTTTATTACGTAATAATAAGAGATGATAAGAAAAAATAGGTTAAGTATAACCTCCCTCTATTTTTATTGTCTTTTTCATAAATGTGGTGTCTTAGTGATCGGTCTCAAAAACATAACCTAAACAAGTTTAGCTTAAATTTATTTTCATTCATAATCTTGAGAGAAATTCACTGTAATTCCATAATTTCTGAGTTGAGTTGAGTTGAGTTGATCATGGTGAAACTGCTCGTATACATGTCTGTGATCCCTAGACCATAGTAACCAATAACCAACAATACCAATTTAGCATTGGGCAAGAAGTGATGAACAATTAATGCTCTCAGAAAATTGAAGAGAACCCAATCTTGGAGAAGCTCAGCCTCTTAACTGTATTCATAAGAGGCCTTCATAAGAACAACCAAAAAAACAAAACAAAACTCAAGTACTGCTAAAAAAGACCAATTCATTCAGAGTACTGACGCAGCTTAATGAACAACTATACCATCAAGATAAAAGGGGCATAAAAAAAATGGTAAAGTATAAACGATGCAACGCCTCTTTTCCAAAATGATGAAGCACGTAATGAACAACTATACCATCAAGTTCCAATTTTTCAGTAGTTTTTTGTGCAACCTAATCTGTTCAGAATGTCCAGAAACCCTAAATGCTGCCTGCCTATATACCATGATCTTAGAACTAACCAAAGAAAAGAATCATCACCTTTCCATCACTTGTTGAACCGAACCCCAACAAAGACATCACCATCTCCTTGTGTAAACTCCAATTCACCATCTTCCACATCCAAATCCAACTCACTATCTGCATCAACACATTCCTGCTTGCTTCTTTTATTCCTGTTCCAAACACCCTTCTTTGCCACAGTCTTAATCCTCATCCTCCGCTTCCCATTGCCTTTCAAATTCACTGTTTCATTCACCTGAACATGATGAACCCTCTCACACCCTTCACTTCTCACATCATCATCATCATCATCAGAAATGTACACAGCATTGACATTTTCATCACCCATCATGTTGTTATTATCCTCCTTCTCCTTAACCTCATAATACCTCAAGGGAACACTCTCGTGGCTCCAATAGTCCTCTCCTTTCTCACCCCCCTCCTTCACCGGCGGCTTCATCGCCACACCGGGAAACGCTTTCCGGCAATTCTGGCACAGCAAGGTGCATTCCTCGTACCTCTTCTCGAACTCGTACAGGTTCCCACAGTAGGGGCACCCGGTCCAAAACGTCGCCTTTGTACGGTCACCGCCGCTTCGTTGTTCGAACTCGCGGTCGTAAAGGGCACGCCTTTCCGGGTCGGAGAGCACGTGCCATGCCTCACGTGCTCGCGCGAGGGCTTCGTCCGAGAAAGGGAACTTGTCGGTGCTCGTGGGGTCAAGGAGGAGCGCCAGCTTCGCGAACTGACTCCGCGTTAGGTCGCGGTCGCCGGCGTCATCGCGGCGGAGCTTAAGGACGGAGTAGAAATCAGCGGCGGAGAGGACGTCGGCGATGGCGATGATTCTGGCGACACAGTCGGAGCTCGGGAGGCGGCTTGCGAAGTCGCGCAAAGCGGAGAAGCGGTGGAGGGAGAGCATGGTGGCGCATGTGGCGATAGGGTTTTCGGGTTGGGATCCTTTGGGCGTATCCATTTGCGTTTGTTTTGAGCTGTGAAAAGAAATGGGAGCGGTATTTGAAAGAGAGCGAAGGGTGGTTTGGTAATTTTGACCATTTATTTGTCTTTTTGATTTGATTCTGTTTGAATTTCCATTATTGCTTATAATTGTGGACAGTACAGTACAAGTAGTCAATATCAGTCTCAAAATGGGAAAAAACGCGTTGGGATTAGTATATAGCACTTGTCAGCTTTCTCTTATTTATTATTATTACTTTTTTTTCCCAAACAATTAGAGGCTCGGACCTATAATTAGGAGTGGATTTATTTTTAAAATTCTCTAAATTCGGTATGTTAAGTAATTTTTGCAAAATATGTCAAATGTTGAAAATAAAAATTCTCTCTAATAATTTTTTTTTATATACATGAATTAAGAGATTTAACCCAGCACTTAATAAACTCATGAATTATGTAATGCATTGAGTCCATGGCTATCCCTAACTAGGCAAAGTCACCATACTAAGAAGAATTTTGAAATGTATCTTCAACTCAAAAATGTTTTATCAAAGAGCAGTGAAACGCGTCAAAAATTAACAGGATCTGGCAATCAATCTTGTCAGAGAAAACGACGTCAATTGCATTTATCCTGCCAATTACACTGACGCGTGCCAGTCAGCTTCAATCCTAGCTGGTCTCGCCACCTTACCTCACGAGATTGGCCTGCATATATATTAGGATCTGCCTCTCTTTATAATAGCATATTGAGTCATATATACTAGGATTTTAATCAATTAACAATTACTCTTTATAATTTTCAATATTTATTATCAATTTTAATACCAGGTTTCTATGGCATTGATAACTTAAATATACCATTAATATAAACACTAATTACAATTAACAATTCAGTCATTATATTAATTATTGTTTACTAAAAAAATAAGATTATATTAATTATTAATTACTAATTACTTTACAAAACAATCTTCTATTTATAAGGTTTCACAAAATATTATTATTATTATTTATTTATTTTTGGTCAGGAAATATTATTATTTATTTACATTTTAACAAGGATTCAGTAACGTGATTAACATTTAATTAACACACTAATATAATGACTATTTCATTATTTAATTAATAATTCATTATTTAATTAGTAATACATGATTTAACTTAATCTGTGTTACCTTTAGGGTGTTATTTATTAGGATTAAATCAGTAATTATAAAATAATCAAAACCGTAATTATGATTTTAATAATTATGATTTTAATATTAGTAATACAACGTTAGCATGTGGGTAGGGGTAATGAACGAGCCAGGGGCCTTTGGCTCGGCTCGTGAAGACCTGAGCCTTGGACTGGTATAAAAGCTCGTTTAGTAAAAATGTCTCAGGCTCCAATTCAAAAGCTCGGCCTTGGAGCCTTTCAGGCTGGCCTAGTATATTAATTTGTAATAGCCCTCTCTCTCCTCTCAATCTATTTCACCCCTATTTTATTAGTTAAACATACTTTTTGAATGATGAGGCTATACTATTTGTAATGAATGAGAAAAGAGTGCAAGGAATGAGAAAATGAACAGAGATAATTAGAGCGAATGAGATAAAATGATTATAAAAAGGTAAACTATGATGTAATTTTACCGGAAAAAAAAATCTAAAACAAAAGTTTAATTTAACAAAATCATTTTTTTAAAAATATTTTGCACAAAAGTTATTTGTGTCACATTAATTAAGCACAAAAGGATTATTTTTATTAAAGCTGGCACTTTCTTATATTAGAAGGGTATTTTTATTGAAAAAAAGTCTAAATTTGATCTTTTTTCTTTTTTTCATCTATGCCGTTTTAAATATTTTTAAAGGGATAATCAACCAAATAATTATTTTTTGAATTGAATATTAAACAAATAATAAGTTAGCATTTACAATATTACAACTTATCTGGTGAAAGATATAATTGTTTAATTGTAATGCATTTTTTTTTTCCTTTCTATATCCACCATTTCATTACTTATGTTGTTTAATTGTTGGTCAAAATAGCATTGTGGTGCTATATATATTTATCTATTTTAAGTAAAGTTTGAATTTGATTTATAGAAAGTATTGTTATCATATTTATAAATATAAACATGTTACATTATCATAATACTATACTTAAAAAACTTTTAAGTAAATTTTTTATGTATTTCTGAAATAAAATCATGACAATTGCTAATTGCAAAAATAAATTATGAGTTAGAATAAGCTACCCATGACATTGATTAATATCATGGAATAGTTATATTAGCACTTTTTTGAAGAATTGGTTAGGTGCATGGAAAACTTATTTGAAACAGAACACCTTTGAAATTACAAGAACACCTACCATTTCCAAATATTTATGTAAGTCATAAACTCCCTTTGTGAGTTTCTATTTCAACCTAACAAATTTGATCTAGTATATATATATATCGGATAAAATATGGTATTTGGATTTTAATATTAAATATATTTTTTTAAAAAAATTATATTACTTTATTTATTCAACAAATATCAAATTTATTATATACTTTATTTATTTTAAAACAAATAAATAATTAAATTACATGAGTTTAAAAATTAAATCATAACTAAAAAAAATCAAATCAAAAGCAAGTTTTGAAACCAAGTCAAAAGCGGGTCAGTCAAATTTGACCCGATTTTGAAACCAAGTCAGACCCACTTCAGAAACCAAGTCAGGTAAGATCTATTCCAGTTCTGATTCAGTTCAAAAAAATTCAAACCGAGTTAAACCTAACTTGGATCAAATTAAACTAAGTCTGATCAAAATAACTGACCTATAAAATTAAGTTGGGTCGGGTCAGCACAAAAACCCAACCCGACATATTGCACAGCCTTACGTGCCAGCTTCTCTCATTTTTAAAAAAGAAAAACAAAAGGCATGTCACGTGACAACCACTTAGAGAGGAGTTAGTTCATATGGTCAGAATTATTTACATGTTTGAGCCTGTTGCTTAAATATAACGTTGTCTTCATGCTTGAACAATGTGAGACATAACATACGTTAATACGTTTTCAGTAAAAATATAATACTTCAATCGGACATACAAATTTCTCCCAACACTGACTGCAACTGAAAAGCTCGCGCAAAATGACTGCTACATGTTCCTTCTTAACTAACGTCCACATGGGCCATTTTCTTATAGCCAGTAGCTCTTTTTTTCTACTATCTCGATCCATACCAGAATCACTGAAGTGCCTTTGGTATGCACTTGCAAGAGATAGGTTGTGCTGCTTCAATCTCTCTATTGATGGTGCTCATCTCCCGGTAAATTTCGCATCCCAAAGAAAACATGTCATTGTTTAATGTGCATTCTTCGAAAACAATATTGGTCCCCATTTAATAAATGTGGCTTACTTTGATTAAAGATTGTTTTACGCTTCTTATTTATTGAACGAAAATTTCGGATAATACACACTTCCCTTGGATTTTCAAGAATTCCCCCAGATTATTTTAATTCCCCCTTAGGAAATCGCGGTTGCCTTTGCAAACCCAGAAACAGGTTGACCCAGCAGTTTGCCACTTTAAAAGTTGGAAAAAACATTTACTCTCACACAACATGATTGTACCCAGACATTTTAGGAGTACTGGACTTGCCAAGTATAATCATCCTCGTAAACTGTTTGGACAACAGTTTATGTTTTTTTAAAACAATAAAATCAATGATCTTACAAGGGTAAATCAAATTCACAAAAGATGAAGAATATAAAAAAATGTTTGTTGCTTTTTCTTTTCTGTAGCCGATACGTTTTTTCAAAATTGAAAAATAAATAAAAAAATAACGCAGAAAACAAGTTAACAGTTATATCACTTATGATATGGCTCCATGAGAGAGCCGATTCCCAACCATTTTTTTGTCAAAAGCTCATTAACTCGTAGACTGCTGCTCATGAGAGGAAAGACCTATTTCTTGTTATCTAGGACAGAACCGAGTCAATATTTTTATTCAAGTCAGATTATTTGGACAATGAATTTCAAGAAAGCACAAAACATGTTAGGTTCACGAAGAATGATTCATCCCAATTTCTTAAAATAACCACATTAACATCTTCACCTTCTGTTAACCAACATATTTCAACATGATTTAGACTTGCAACGGCAGCTGACACCACATCTTCTCCTATACCTACCCTTTTACATCAAGAGTCCTATTCGTTTGGTTCTAGCTCAACCAGACTAGCCTGGTTTTTTTTAATCTTTTTCAAACTCATACTTGTTCCCACAAAGAGCCATTCAAATCTCGAATTTGCTCCTAAAGCATCTCCAGATTTTTATTTTGCAACGCAGATATGTATGCCTCAATCAGTGAGTGTGCATGTCAAATAGAGAAGATACCAATCAACTATTCTGCTTCTTCAATGAATAAGAATTCAACAGTAAAAGGTTAGAGAGAGACGGGCAGGTGAAACGGGACAAACTGCTATATTCCACCTCCCCCACCCCCTAAAAAATAAAAAAGAATAAAGGCAATATTTACTTACTAATCAATCAAGCCGGATAGTTAAAATTGCTTTCTGAGAGTTTAATATTAATTTGTTCTCAACTTAGATGACCATGTGCCATTTGCCTTGCTACTTACGGAGAAACTCTTTCTCAGCCAAAAAAGCACTATATATGTATGAATACGGTTGCAACTACAATGAAGACCCCAATATAGACACATGCAGTTGCAGCACAAACATAAAGGTACCTACAAGACAAATTGATAGTGTAAGTTTTGCAAGGTTAAATGACATCTATAAATATGATATCAGAAAATCAGAATAAATCCCTATACATCTACATCAACATCAACAACACATTTATCCCAAATTAATAGGGGTCGGTGGTAGATGAACCCACATGAAAAATAAAAAAAAATAAAAAAGTAATAATAATAAAAAAAAAATAAAAAAAAGTAAAAAAAATAATAATAATAAAAAAAAATAAAAAAATAAAAAAATAAAAAATAAAAATAAAAATAAAACTAAAAATAAAAATAGAAAAAAAAAAATACAATAAATAAAAATAAAATAAAATAAAATAAAATACAAATACAAATACAAATACAGGTATATATAAATAAATAAAAGTAAAAAAAGAAAGGGACAAGAAGAAGTGGGGGAAATGAAGGGAAAAAGGACTAAAAAGGGACCATCTGGAACATAGGAATAACAGCGGGTCTAACCCTCCACCATACTTATAGCTTTTCTCCATTCCGTTCTAAGACTTACTGTCCGCCAATCTATATCCCACTCCATTAAATCTTGTTTTACTACCTTCCCCCAAGTAAGCTTCGGCCTACCTCTGCCTTTTTTTGTGTTTAGCTCTTGGTAACAAACTTCTGTTCTTACAGGAGCATCCATGGGTCTTCTCATCACGTGCCCAAACCACCTCAATCTATGTTCTCTCATCTTCTCGGCTACCGGTACTACTCCGACCTTTCGTCGAATATCTTCATTTCTTATCTTATCCATCCTTGTGTAACCACACATCTACCTTAACATCCTCATCTCTGCTACTCCCATCTTATGCTCATGTTGCCTATGTGCTGGCCAACATTCCGCTCCATATAGCATTGCCGGTCTTACTGCCGTTTTATAGAATTTTCCTTTTAACTTCAGGGGGATTTTGCGGTCACACAAAAATGCAGATGCATTGCGCCATTTCATCCACCCTGCTCTGATTCTGTGATTTACATCCTCATCAATCTCTCCACCTTTTTGTAAAATGGAGCCCAAGTATTTAAAAACATCTTTTTTGGGTACCTCTTGACCATTTAGATGCACGGGCTCTTGGTCCCCATCTCGTACCAGAGAAAACTCACACTTCAAATACTCAGTCTTGCTTCGACTTAATGTGAATCCTTTGGATTCCAATGTGCTTCTCCACAGTTCAAGTTTTTTATTAACACCCTCCTTGCTCTCATCAATAAGCACAATATCGTCTGCAAAAAGCATACACCATGGCACTTCCTCTTGAATATCTTTTGTTAGTTCATCCATAACTAAGGCAAAGAGGTAAGGACTTAGAGCCGACCCTTGGTGTACACCTACCGTGTTAGGAAAATAACTTGATGATCCATTACAAGCTTTTACACATGTAGTAGCCCCATCATACATATCCTTAATTGCCTTTACATACTTTAATGAAACCTTTTTCTTCTCCAGAACCCACCATAAAACTTTCCTTGGAACCCTATCGTATGCTTTCTCAAGGTCTATGAACACCATATGCAAGTCCTTCTTCTTTTCTCGGTATCTTTCCATTAGTTGTCGCATCAAGAAAATGGCTTCCATGGTACATCTTCCTGGCATAAATCCAAATTGATTTACAGAAACCTTGGTATCTCTCCTCAAGCGATGCTCAATAACCCTCTCCCACAACTTCATAGTATGGCTCATTAGCTTAATGCCTCTATAGTTTGAACAATTCTGTATATCTCCCTTGTTTTTGTAGATAGGCACAATCATACTTTTCCTCCATGCATCAGGCATCTTATTCGTCTGGAGAATCTTATTAAAAAGATTGGTCAACCATTTTATTGCCACATCCCCCAGGCCTCTCCACACTTCAATAGGGACACCATCAGGCCCCAAGGCTTTATTAGTCTTCATCCTCTTTAAAGCCTCCTTAACTTCATGTGTATTAATTCTGCGTACAAATCTTCTATTCATATCATCATACGCGTCCTCTAGGTCCACCTCGCTTGTATCTCCGTCCCCATTAAACAGCTTGTTGAAGTATTTCAACCATCTTTCATTTACATCTTCATCTCTCACCAGAAGTTTTTGATTTTCATCCTTGATGCATCTAACTTGGGTGAGGTCTTTACTTTTCTTATCCCTTATCTTTGCAAGTTTATAAATACCTCTTTCACCATCCTTGCTCCCAAGATTTTTATACAACTCGTCGAAAACCTTGCCTCTAGCTTCTCGCACTGCTTTCTTTGCATTTTTTCTCGCCAATCTAAACTTTTGCAGGTTCTCTTCCAGGGACTTTTATGCAAAGATCTAAAGCACTCCTTCTTATGTTTAATTGCCTCTTGCACCTCTCCATTCCACCACCATTTTTCTTTTGTATGAAATCCATTTCCTTTGCTTTCTCCCAACACCCTCCTTCCCAAATTTTGAATACACTTAGCCATCTCATTCCATATTGCATTTACTCCTCCATCAAACTCCCAAGGTCCTTCATGCAACATTCTATCATTGAACTCTCTCTCTTTTGCCTCCTTAAGCTTCCACCACCTTATCCTTGGATTCTGAGCCCTCTTCTTCATTGAACGTACTTTGTTGAATTGAACATCCAAGACTACCAGCTTATGTTGCGTAGCGACACACTCTCCAGGGTAGACCTTACATTCGACACAAGAAGTTCTATCTTCTCTTCTAGCCAGAAAGAAATCAATCTGACTACGATTATGGCCACTATGATAAGTGATTAGGTGTGACTCCTTTTTTTGAAAAAAGGTGCTCACTAACATCAAATCGTAGGCTAGTGCAACATTCAAGATATCTTCTCCAGTCTCGTTTCTCGTCCCATAGCCAAAACCTCCATGGATTCTATCAAAACCTCCATTGCTTTTACCAACATGACCATTTAGATCTCCTCCTACGAAAATCTTCTCCTCTCGAGGTATTATCCCTATAACTACAATTAAATTAAAAAATCACAAAGGATAATTTTGTGTTTCAATCATTAATCAACTTCTAAACATCGGATTCAGGGAAGACTCACTTGGGAGAAAAGACACTCCAAATAAATAAATGGTTCCTCATCAACAGCAAGACAATCGTGTATGCAGTCAAGAGAACAGAATTCATGCTCAAAGGTACTAGGCAAGGAAATCCAAGAAGAGTCTTGAGAATTTCTCCAGAATTGCCTTTCTTGGTAACTAGTGAACCGATTGAGATCTTGACAGAGATGTACAGAACCATACTAAGAAAGAACAACATTGGGGATGCATAAGTAATGATGAACATTAAAAGACCTGAGAGGAAGGTTGAGTGACTTGAAATTCCCTGCCAATGAATGGTAATAACTTGCTGAGAAAATAGAAATCTCATGGACAATTGGAATCTTAAATGCAGTACACAAAATAATGTGCTGTTTTGAAAGTAATGACAAAAAAAGAAATAGAAGACATTACAATAAAAGCTCCAGCTACATCAATGGTAGCTAGCGTATTGCTGTTCCCAAGAGCAAAATGGCCTGCCATTCCCAGATTGTACAGAGCAGTAATCTAAGAAATGCACAGTATCAGTACCCGATCTGCATTTTGAACTCATTCCAATACTCATTATGCATCAAAAGAAAATGTATGATGCGTAGAAAAGAGCAAGGGTAACTTCATCACAGTGCAATTTGCTTTAGTATCAATTAAAGCACTTTTTTTTTTTTTTAATTTCCCTTTTAGCTACTGGTAGGTAGTGGGGGACAAATAACTGAAGCATGTCCAAACACAAGAGCTATTAGAAACTGGCTTAAGGCAAGATATGTGACCAAAGTGAGATATGCTTGCTCGGACAGACGCCTAAGAACTTAAATTTAGAAACCTATGTATCCCATTCTTATAGACAAATGATCCATTCAGTCAATAAACAGGTTAAAACCACAATTTAAACAGAGTGAAGTCTGGGCTGTAGAGAGTAAGGGATGGGTTTGAAATGAATGCATTATAATAATTCAGGCGCTAAGTTACAGATAGCTATTATTTGTGTTAAGTGGAGCTTGAAATATGTGTGACGGTCGGGTGCCTGTGATTGTTGTGTGTATCTAAATACATTATTTTCCCTTCTCCTTTGGAAGAAGGGAAAAATTCCTGAGCTACAACTGAAGGAAGACGCACTAAATTTTTTTTCTTAATGGTGGCTTGTGTAACTAACTTTTGTCCAACTATATTGCCTGAATGACATGGATGAAAGATGCATACATTTACAACCATCTACTAAATGTATGGTCAGTAGAAGCATAAGCTTGCTCTACAAAATGAAACTTTCATATAACAGCCGGCAGAAAAATGCTAAAATGATGGAGGATTTAAAGTCTACAGACGTTTTAAATGAACAGCTTAAATTATTTATTTAATTAGATCCCATTGCTGTCATTCCCATGTAAAGTCAGCTTGCTAAGACACCTTATTTTGAAAATAACTTATGCCAGAGTAAATCTCTATCTCTTCTTATTCATATGCATAATAATATATAATTATCAGTGCAAATGTATGTAGCATATAACTAAAGTTGATTAGGCAGAATAGTCTGTACCTTATATGGTGAAATTGCCTAGAATGTTATCAAGGTCAAAATTCCAATTCAGAAAAAAATACACACTTGAAAATTACAATTCTAGGTATGAACGTTATACCATTATAATTAATTTATATATAGCAGAAGTCCATAAGTTGAACTTAAATAGCCCCCGTCAAGTCAGATTCCAGGGCAAACCGTTTTCAGTGTTTTAGCACTGCGTTCTAGAACCCAAAACCAATCTGTTATCAAAATATAAAATAAAAAACCAACATTTATTCATGACAGGTTGCAACTAACCTCAACCCACTGCTTATGATGTGACCCACTAGAAGAAAAGGTAAGCATGCTGGCCAAGGCTTGAACAAAGAGCAACAACACAGGCATCACATTAATGGGTTGTTGAAGCAACAACTGCAGAAGACACCAGGAAGTTATATACGTGCACCCCACCAAGTACAAGGAATCTTTTAATACCAAAATTGGTGTCATGTTCTGAATTTCAAAAGGAACAGAAGCAGACATGTAGAAGTTCCGTGTTGAGTACATTTCAGGAGTTTGCATAGGCATAACCCATGGCAAAACCAATACAACTGTAACAGTGATGATTCCCAGAATGGCATAGAATATTTGTACTGATAAGGTGGCATCCTTATTATATGAGGCAGACATGTCCTCATGTTTCACAAAATTTTGCAATACCAACAAACCAGACATTAACAAGCTGAATCCAATCACCATTACGACTTTTGTTTTGGCCTGCATTAGGAACAATACAAATATGCCCATAATGATGATCATGACACAAGATGCTATCTGAATTGAGTTTATATATTGACTGCCAGCCTGTTCAAGCCACTTAGAAATGTCAGGAAGGTTAGTCCAATTCACACCACCTTGGTGCCAGCCTTTCAAAATTCTTCCAGAAAAGAGAATAAGAAACAACAAACTCATTCGGAAACCTGATATATTTTTTTGTTCCTTTATTGAACTGAGATAATCATGTGCTTTATTAAGGTCAAAAGACTGTATTGCTTCGCGAAGAAATAACAAGTTAATAGTGGATGTTAAAAAATGCCAAATATAATGCTCTTCCTCAATCATGGAACTCGATCCCATACTAATGACAAGGATCAGGATGCCAAACAAAACGAACACCTCATCTAACTTCCATGGCTTCATATAATTGTGAAGGTCTTGCGTCTCCTCTGCAGGAATTTCTTTGTGGATGATGAATACAAGTCTCAGCAGTATCAAGCATGAGGTGATCAAAGCAGCAACTCCAAAAACAAGCAAATTAATTGGTTTCTGCACAAACACAATTATCATGAGAAAGAACAGAAAGAGAGAGAGAAATATTAAGAGAAGCTTTTTAAAGACATAAATCAATAAACAGGATGGAAATATTCCCTCAATACAGGCTATTCATGCTCTTAAACAATATCCCAGGTTAGCAAGGTCAAGAAACTTTGACTCAGAAGATCATACATACATCAGTTGCTTTGTGTGATAACCACTCACTTGCTCTACTCAGAAACTCGTTATATGCTGCAACAATGCTGTTGTAGCCTTCTGTACTATTAGACCCAAAAAAATGCCAAATAAAAAAATTTCACAAATATTTCTTGTGGAATTTATTAAAAACTTGGCACAACAGAACTGTCACACACCTGATGACTACTTCAGCTTTCCAGGCATCATGAAGAGTAGCAGCATTCAAATACAAGCAACAAAACAACTTCTCCTTGCTACCTTTGCATTCACTAATTGTGTGTTCACTATTAGTATAGAAAGCATCACATGGAAAATTTCTACAAGACAAACCAGGCAATTGTGCTTGAAGTAATCTGAATAACTGCCATGAGTTTAACTGCAGTGCCCTCAACTTTTGGTCTTCTAGCTCACCAAAGAAGCAAAAGGAAAAAAGAAAATTAAAATGACATAATTTTGTTCTTACAACATTAATATGCTCAAAGAAAAATTGTAAGCGGATGGAAAAAAATGTCATATCACCTTCTGTTAGTTTGTCTGACAGACAGGCATAGACAGATAGAGAACTAACCTGTCAGAGAGTCAACCATTTGAGAGATCAAAACACCAATATTGTTTTTTGGAATTGGTACGCCAAAAAGTAAAGCTAATGTTGGCGCAAGATCAACCTGGTTCACAATAATATAACGTAAATTGCATACGTATTCAACCACCTACTACACAGGTTCTTTAGTTATATGGTATGTTGTCAGTGAGTGAGTGGTTGAATTGTGTTAGGTTCAACATTGACAAACAAGAAAACAGGGAGAATAGTAAGATAACAAAATAAATTTTAACAGGGAAGGAGACAAATTCATGTAAACATAAAAGGTTCACCCCATATGGATGCATACAAATAGGAGTTCGTTTATACACTCAATGCAGGAATCTTCTCTCATGGTTTGCAAACTGTTTTGGCAACACATTCAAGTTCAAGAGAAGATAAGAAAACTATCAACATTGGTTAGTCCTGTACCCTACAACCCTACAAGCATTAACTATAGTTTCATTACCTGAAAAATAGTGTCATGATTGGATAATGCAGAGTCAGAGGCATGGTTTTTTGGTCCAATAAAAAGAGCTAGAGAGTCAGTTTCCTCATACGAGGAACCCCCATGATTACCATTCTCAGTCATTCCATGGTCACTGACTACAACCTGTATAACAATTTGCAGCAGAGAATAATTAAAACTTTGATTCTTAAATGGACTTGGTCTGTACAATAATAATTAATAATTAATTAAAAATAGCCATACATGAAAAACACAAAACATCAACTACTCGTCAAAGTAAATAATGCTAGAGGTATAAGACCACAAATGGAAAATACTACTACTGAAGATATGTACATAACAAAAATAGAGATTTGAAAAGCCATGAGAATATACTATGGGTGCATAAACACAATGATTAACACTAACAAATTTGCATTTCTATATATTCCAGATTCAATAGTAACAGTATGTACAATGGTAAGTTCATTTATGTCCTCAGGTCAGTATCAAATTGACAACCTTACAAAGCCAAAGACCGTTTATCATTAACTTAAAAGCAAGTTTTTCAGAAGAACTCTAGCATCTCTTCTGTTTGCAGGCCCATCCATGCAAAAACATCCTAAATGTATTATAGAAGTGTTGTATATACATTAAGAAGCTAAATAGGGTATCTCTCGTGTTCATATTAATGTCTATAAATGCCACACCATAATAAACAAGTCACATGAATTCTGTATACACAATTCAAGAAAGCAACAAAAAGGTAGTAACAAACCAGAAGTGTCTGCCCTTGATCATTTTCTAGATTTTGCAAGGAATTAACATGAATCTTCTTAACTACTTCATCCATTTCAGAAAGTTTTGAAGTCATTAACACACTGAAACAGTAAATGTCCAAGTGAAGCTTAGAGCCAGAGGAACAGAATTAAATTACATGTATAGAGCAAAGAGATATTGATGATACCTGTTGCGCCCACCAATATGTCCAACATGATCCAAGCCTAGATAATGAAGAATCTAAAATAAACTCAGTAAAATGTGTGTAAATGAAATTAAATCTTCATTGAAAAGCATCATGGAATTTGGAACTAGACAAAAAAAAAAAATTAAAAAAAATAATAATCCACATTCAACACTTGTGTGCTAAAGTAACACTAAGTTAACATAAAATTTTGAAGAATCCTTGTACTACAAATGGATCTTAACTCGTAAGTCTTAACTTTCACTGAAAAGTGAAAACGAAAGTAGATTAATGTCTTCCTCTGAAAGTAAATGAGTTGGAAGAAGTCCGTTGATAAGGGAGATGAAAACCAGAGTATATACTATCTAGTAACTAGCAAACTGGATAAAGTATATGCAGTAAATATTAAAAGGTAGAACAAAAACAAAAGCTTTTTTCCTGTTCAGTGTTATCATACAAGTAGAACCAAACCAACTCTTATAGCTGATAAAAAAACTGCTTATTTAGTATAAGTAGAACCAAATCAACTTACAGTTGATAGAAAGTAATACTAATTGTCCAAAAAAGATCAATTATAACACTTGGCATGTCTTCCCAAAAGTGCATCCATAGAACAGGCCTAATGATATATTGTTAGAATTGAAGGAAATGAAGGAAAATGTCTTCACGTAATCAAACTGTCAAGAGTTCCAAACAAAAGCATAACAACACACTGACTGTCTTCTTCTTTAATGTTCAAAAACTTACCAACAACACATTTCAATAAATTCATATTGAAATCTCATTCAAGAAATCTATTTCTATGTCATTGTCAATAGTTTTTTTTTAAAGAAAAAAACAGGGAATATAAACAAACTTTTAGAATGCATGAGGGGACTCAGAAATAAGCCAAAGCCCACTTGGAAGGCCAGACAACATGCACACTCAAAAATTATGCTCATATCCAATACTCAGAAACATACCAAAGAATACACGACCCCAATGTTCATTGGTAATATGATATCACTAAAACAACGGCTACCTCTTTGGCCAGAAAAAGAACATGCATATGAGAGAGAGGAGGGGTTTTTTTTTTTTGGGGGGGGGGGGGTGTGTGTGTGTGTAAAACAACAGGTTCTAAAGATTTAAAAATGGGATAAGATGCAAGGAGCATATTTTCAACCAGAAAAACGAAAGTTTGCAAAGAGAAATTATCACAAAATGGAAATTCAAATAACATTAGTTAGGGACCAAATTATGATGTGGTCACAATTACTTACCAGGAAATTCCAATCATCTCTGCTAAGTTCATCGTCAAGATGTCGAGACACATTTTGATCTACTTGTATAGTATCTTTAACCTATAGTAACAAGAGGCATCAGAAAAACAACATAAAATAATACATCAACCATATAGTTTTTAGGGGAAAAGTTCAAAAACTCCATGTGGTTTACTCTTTTATCACTTACCCCCCCTATGATTTTTTTCTTATCACTTATCTCCCCTATGGTTTTTTTCATCCAAGTTCATATTTAACATCATTAAAATTTGAATTAACTTGCCCATTTTACCCGTCTTGCCAACATCAAAAGCACTTGTCTATCATAAAACTTCCAGAAGAAATTACCTGCTTTATATAACTTCCAAAAAGAATCAAATCATTCAAGCCATAAAACTTAAAAGACGAACAAGAAAAGGGGAAGAAATACCGGCATATAGAAACAAGATTGTACACACTTACCACTCTTTTTATTGTTAATGCTAATTATGTTTATTTGGAAAATCACCTTGGAAGCCTTTTCCCTTGATCTTTATGCTTGGGTTTCAGGTCTTCCTAATCAATCTATCACTCTAAACGTTTTACAGCAATAAAGGCATTGGTGAATAGATGCGCTGATTCTAATTTGACTGTTTACCAGGTGAGAATCTTAGACACGACTAATGTAAAAATATTTTCATTAAATCATTTAACTCATCAGCCATGTAAATTATCCTTTAGTGATTGAATAAAACTTTATTGAAGAATTTCTGTTAGGCAGAGCATAGATGGAGTAATGATTAATAAAAGCTCATTGAAAAGTGCCTAATTCTAAGCATTTTTGAAAATCAAACAATGGAAAATAATTGTAACAACAATAATAATATAAACAAAGAGCAACAAAAGCATTACAGAAAAATCATCCAGATTCCAGATCTATGATAGATTAGTGCTTTTGATGTAGGCGAAACAGGGATAAAATGGGGAAGTTAGTTCAAATTTTAATGGTGTTAAAGGTGAACTTAGATGGAAAAAACCATATGAGAGGTGTGTGATAAGAAAAAAACTATAGGGGGGAAAGTGATGAAAGAATAAACCACAAGAGGTTTTTGAACCTTTCCCTTTTCTTTTCTTTTTTCAAAATAAACTTATGATCATTGAAAGAACATGTCATGTAAAGAAGAAAGCTGCCTCACTTGTCATGTTCCTGAGACATGAGAAGTTATTAATGAGAAATGCAAATGCATAGAGAGGTCAAATACAACTCAAATATATATACATAGACATGCACACATAAAAAAATAAATAAAAAAATAAAAAATCAAAGTGATTATTAATGATCACATGCATTATGGCCTATTTGGGAGGCACAAGACCATGTCTATATGCTGACATGTACACTGAAGACTTACAAAAAAACTGCTAACTCCGTCATGTCGTGCAAATAAACCAGGAAATAACTTGAGCCATGTATCATCACCATGCATAACCATTTTCCATCCAATCTTAAAGAACTGTGCTGCAACAAACAAGTGACAATGACGTAAATACAATTTCACAGAAAAATCAATGATATGGTCAATTTTTCCAACATGGTTGCTACAACTAACCAAGAAGATTGTCATCAAAATAAGCCTGTGTGTTAAAGTTGAAAGCCACATCCAAGAAACCCCCAATTGCTCCTGAAACCATGGCCTGGAGTGAAAAACAAAAGAGATAAAATAAGAAGAGGTTGGAAAAAAGAAAAGAAATCCATAGATCATATGCTTTTCTTTCGTACTTTCACATTTGAAACAGGAAAGGACACTGACCTTCAGACGAGGCATGGTAACTGTTGGAGCTGCAGCTATTGCATGATATCCAACAGCCATACCATTCACCAACAATGACTGGGTATATGGCATAGCTTCCAGAAAAGCCTTGCTTGGAGGCTGACCCTTCTTGCCAAGCACAAATTCAGCTGGAAGACCGTCAATGACCTAAAGTAAAATGATTTTATGCAACAAATTAATATCTATAACTGTAAGCCATGAACAACCAAAATATATATAAAACAAAATCATAGACCTTATCAAATATGGTATTCAGGCAGTTGTACATACCATTAAGATGAGTCGATCATATGAAAAAGGGATCTCAGATTCTTCCTACACAAAGAACATTTTCTAAATTCATTAGTAAAAACAAAACTAGAAGCATAAATGAGAATTGGATTAAATCAATCACCCTTTACGAGAAAACAATGCTTTCCAAATAAAAAATTCCTGCATAACATATGATCCTACTGACATTCTGGAATACAGAAAAAACTAATCATGCAGTTTACAGACGCTTTCCATTATGAAAATTGTTGGTATTTCACTTCCAGTTCCAACTACAATGAACATCCCCATTTCCCAGTCTCGTTTGTCTTTAATCAATATTTAAGCTATCTAACTTGAAAGAAAGAAACAGAGAAAAATGAAGCCATTTTATTGTTCCAAGTCAGTTAGCATACTTTTGGTACTAGAAAGGACACCACACGGTGCCATCCTGAACCTTCACTGGTTGTTATCACAACTGAACTTAATCTTATGACCTTAAAAGGTGAAATACCATGTGAATGTGATACATAATAGATTAGGATTATTTGAATTATTTTTAATATATGAATTGAATGGTAACTTATGTTATTTAGGATCTTGACATCTTTCCTTATTTTTAGGGATTATATCTTTGATAATATATTTGTTTCAAGGAAATTTATATTTAATTAAGATCATGTATCTAAATACGACTTATCTACGATTTTTGTTATATTTAGTTATAAACACCCTTTAGGTGCATACTTTAACATAATAAAATATTCTTAGCCAGGAGAGTACCCTACCCAAGAGGAGTACTCTTGGTTCCCATTCTACATCACCATGTTATAACAATCATAACAGATCTCCAATTCACAACAAATACGAATAGAATGAATAAACTGTGATCTAATATCAAACTAAATGACTGTTTGCAAGAAGTAATACAAAAACGTAGATGCGTGAAACAAAATAAATTCAGCATCAAACAAACCAATGGATAGTAATTAGTGCATAAGAATTTGCATTCACCACCACAACCTGATACAACAACCTAAGGCGATCTGATGCCTCGCTCCGATTTGCAAAGCCATCGTTATCGCAGGTTGGGCGTCGGAAACTCTCCAAACCACTAACAAAGCAAAAAAGGAAGTCAAATAATCAAATCGAGGAAAAGGTTTAGGTTTGAAGATTTGAAGATTTTACCTGTGACCGGAGAGAACTGGTTTGACGGGGAAGAAGCCGAAAACGAAGATCGAGAGGCCTATGAACTGGATGATAACTGCTGCTATGCTAAGTAGTGTCAGCTTAGTGCAAGAAATTGAAGACATTTTTGGTAGGTGTCGTTTGAAGGTTGGTGTTAAAATGTGAATTTATTTTAATTTTTTTTTTTTCACTCTCCTTTGTTTGGAATTTCTTTTCAGCGTGGTAAAGAAAGGGAAGGACTGGGGAAGGATTATTTTTTATTTTTTATTTTTTATTTTTCACATGTGACGTGAGGAATCAAATTTTGAAAAGAGTTAAAGAGAATTTTCATTTGTCCCTTTCATTGATCGCCAACTCCCACAAAATAAAAGTGGCGTTAATGTTAACTAAAATTTCCTCATCATCTAAATTTTAACTCCCTATGCTTTTAAAATAATTACTTTTTTTATTTTAAATTTTTTCTTTCTCCTTAATTGTCAATTACTAATACTTCCAAATTAATTCTTTTTACATTAAATTTTTCTTCTTTTTTCTTCCAATTTCATCTTCTTGCCTGCTTATTTATCAATAGTAAGATGAGATTCATGGCAGATTCGATGAAATTCGACATGAATAAACATGAAGTCTTAAACAAGCCTGTGGACTCGGGCATTTTGGATAAATTACACTTCATAAACAAAATTGCAGGATAAGAAATACTGAAATAATTACAACCAAATATGGAAACATGCATGCAGAACAAGGATTGTACAGTGGTTCCCCCACTACTCAATCAACGCCCAAAAGCCGAAGCCTTCACAAGCAACCTACTCGAGGCCTATAATGTATAGTTCATGATCATATTGCCCTTGAAGGTTAAGTTCTCACATCTTTCAGTGAACCCCCTTTTTCAAGCTCAATGACGAGATCCCTAAGGGATGGAACCTTCATAGCCAAGGTCCTATATAATCTAGAATACCGTGCTCGAGTTCCATCTGCAGTCCTTGCCAGGGCAAGCAAGCTTAAAGCATCAGGTAGTTCAGCAAATACTTGCTTCATTTCCTCCAAGCTCATATTTTCCAAAATGGACGGCCTAGGGGCAACCCTCACAATCTCACCTCCATTAGGTTCCTGAACTCGAGCCTCAGCTTTAATTATTAGTTCTGAATTTGAGTTTGCTCCACATTTGATTATAAATGGTGAGGTATTGCCTGTATTAAATTGAAGCACGTTCCACTGTGCCACATCAGTTCCAGATCCAGAGCCCACATCAGTTGATGGCTTGCGAGCATGTGATAAATCTTGAATGCGGTCATCTTCTTCAGGAATTGACTGCGTCAAACACAACAGAAAAGAGGGTTTAGGATTCACAAAACTCAACAAACGCCAGACCCAACTGATTTCAGACAAAAAAATATCTTAATTTCACACAAATGCAAGGAGACGGAAAATCATTTCAAATTATTTTCAACTGTTCAGTCCTTAGTTTTGTTTCTTTCTATTTTCTTTTTTTCTAGGGGCTACAAAATTCCTTAGTATTTAACTTGGTAGTACTCCCATATAGCAAAGCAAATAATTTAATTAACAATAATTTAAAAATTAATGGCAACTACGGAGAAAAACCAGGCAAAGTCAACCTCTCCGTTAATGCACCATTCCTGTCCTTATTAGATATGCTTTTTATCAGAGCAGTCGTAGTGAATTTTAGTCAACACTGAGTATGCCAACACAGTTCAAAGCACAATCTGATTCCTTTAGTGCTCACAATCTAGTCATACTGAGCAACAACTTGCATACCTCAACCATGCGGCAAGCATCTGCAATGTGCCTCTGAGCACATGGATGATCAATTTCAAGAAGCGAAGGCATTCGTTCTGTTAGTTCATCAAGAGAAACAAGCACTGTTCTTTTCTTACTTTTCCCGATGGTGTTCATAGTAGAAAGTCTTGTTATATCCTGTTCAAATTATACCTTAAATTATTGATTATTTCTTATTAGAACACTAAACTCGAGCTTCCAAAACAGATTTCAAGAAGAAACAAGAACCTTGATTTGCTTCAATATGCCGTCAAGTGAAATGAGAGATGCTAATCGTGCATCTTCAGCTGCAGAAGAAGGACTTTGAATAGGTGAACCACCATTTTCCAATAATAACGCTACATCACTTCTCATTTGTTGCAAAATCTGAATATAATAAGATATCAACGGCACATGATAAATAGACATTTTAAGAAGAAAATAATACATCAATATCCTTCTTTAATTGCTATTAAAATTTAAATCTATCACTAACATTGCAGTAGTACAGGTCTGACAGAATTGACATATCATGTGTTTAGGAATGAAGGCTAATGTCACCAGAAAATTCCCCCCTCTTTAAATGGCCTATTTTGCTGCTCAGTAAGAACTGCAGAAAATCAACTTTACCAAAATTGAAACCCAGGACTGCATAACTGCACTTCAATTACCTTGAGTTCAACGGTCATAACTTGTGTTGGCTATATACAAGTAATTAAAAGGGGTGTATGTTCCGTTTATATCTTCCTCCTAATCACACAGATATAGACCTCTAGAAGTGCTGAATACGACTCTCTGAATAGAAGTATAACCAACAAAATTGGTAATTTCCCAATTTTTGTGTGTGACTTTCACTTCCTCTTATAAAAGCAATTTCCAAGTATCAAGTGAAAATATTTCAAAACAAAATATAAAAATGCTGCACTGCAATCATGGGTTATATTAAAATTTCTTGTACAACATTTGCATAGTAAACTAATGCAATGACAAAATATTCACTTCATGAAGGAACTCTTGACGTATGCAAATATGATTACATGCATGAATAAGATATAACAGTTGAATAAAATAAAGTACCTTTCTTCTTTTGAGATCAACGGATTCTAGAGCTGAACGCAACTTGCCCACTTGTGCTGAATCCTCAGCCTCTTCTGTTGCCAAGGTACCAGCAATATCCTGATAACCAAATGTCAGAAAACATAGGATCAACACATAAGTTAAGGAGTGCACATACAAGGAGAATTAGTCAAATTGGAAGTTTCATTCAATTTTTTGGTTTAGGATATGTATCCAAACCACTCAATCCAACTAAGTAAATCATACAAATATAACTAGCTATAGATGGTAATGGACAGCTCTCACGCATAGCAATTAGATGACTTGAATGAAAATTTTCAAAATGCATGTAGAAAATTAGAGACAATAATATTACAAAATTCTGAGCATAGTTTCTTAGCTAACACTGGGTTCAGATCTAATGTGAGATACAGTTAAAGAAAATAAGAAGATTAAGATAGATAGATAGCAATAGTAATATAGGAGCATTTAATAAGGATCATATAGAGCACAACAAAATATGAAGAAAAAAAAAGTGATATTCTGGGTTTTACTACTAACAGAAGAAAAGTATTTCCAGAGCTTGGTACTTTCACAAGCCCCCAATCAAGAAATGTTACGGTATTGTATGCATGCAGATCAGATGGTAGTAAAAGGTGGTTTTTACTAACGAAAAGTAAAATGAGAATAACAAGATTAATATACTTTATGGCCTGACCAAGCCAGAACCTTTCTAAGAATCTTGTGTTCTCGTAGGGTCTCCCAATTTACATATAATTTCGAAATTTTATAGTTGAGAAAAATTAGAATAAAAGACTACAAACTCCATATAAAGCTCAAAGAAATATCCATATCCAAGAAAATTATTAGAAAAGAATTCCTGAAAAAAGTTTACTAACATGGAACAACTTGTACACTAAAAATATATACTCTTGAGCAAGCAAGTCAAACCTCTTCGGCAACCAATAGTGTAATAAAAATTATTTGGGTTGCACCAGATTTAGGAATTGAACTTAAATCCAAAATATTTGAGGGTGTGAGCCACACACATGAACGTGCATGTACATGTACTGATTTAAGCATTTCAAGAGCTAGTACCTCGAGTTCCAGCATGACCAATATGACTCAATTAGTCAATTTGTGTCGTATTTATATTTTATGGCAACATAGGCTGCGCGGCAAGTGCAGGTTTGGAGTTGAGTTAACCTTTCTTCCCATCTCGTCAAATGATGACATTGTTTGTTTATTTTATTTTTTTCAAAAAACATTCTCGAAATTTTATAATAATTAGATCAGTTTTTTTTTTTAAAACAAAAACTCAAAAAAAGTAATTTTAGTTTTTTTTTCTCTTAAGTTATAAAAAGTGAACTTAAAAATAAATCTCTACGAAAAAATATATCATAATTTTTTTTTTTTGGAAAAATAAATAGGAAAGAAAAAAATAGCAGGAAAGACTAGGTACACATCCTAGACCAAACTACTCCTACATAATCCCTTTCAAGCATGTCACGACAACCTGATGGAGGCGAGACAAACTCTTGTAAGACCAGTCAAAAGAATAAGTGAATGAGGCCATCCAATCTGCAATCCCATTTCCTTCCCTATGAATGTGGGAAATCCTAAACATCCAATCCCAAGATAGCATATTCTTGATGCGCAGGACCAAAATTGAGGCTGGATGATGAGGATTGCAACCCTATTTCAAAAGATGTTGTGCTACTAGTGAATCACCTTCAAGCCATATAAAATGAAAGCCCTTCCTCCAAGCAATTTCAAGCCCAAGGAGGCATCCCCACAGTTCTTCCAATAAAATGTTGCCACAACCAATATTTTTACAAAACCCTACGAGCCATCTTCCACTAGCATTTCGAATTACTCCCCCACAAGCGGAAGATTCGCCATTGTTTATGCTTGACCCATCAACATTCAGCTTAACCCAAGGTTCTCAGGGAAAAACCCAGGAAACTAACCTCTCTTTTCGCAAAATGAGTCACAAGGCCAGCAACCTGAAGTGTGCTTTCTGACCAAGTAAACCCATCTCCATATACCAGAGTAGCTCTCAAAGTGTTGTATGCAGTTTCTGAAGACCTTGGAATATCTTCTTATTCCTAGATCGCCAAATGAACCAAGAAATGGTCCTAAACAGAAAAGGCCATGGAGACAGATTAAACCAAGTATGAACCTGTGAGATGTTGGACAACACCCATTGTTGAAGGTTAAGAGAGAAAACTCCTCCATTGCCTCTTGTTTAACTACATATTCCCACACCTGCTTCGCATCAACGCAATCCCTGATTGCATGTAGGGTGCTTTCAGTAAATCGATTACACAAATGACAAATATCAGAACCAGTCATGTGACGTTTGCACCTTCTTTCATTCGTCAAAAGCTTGTCCTCTATCATCAGTGATGTGCCTTCAGCATATAGATATTTTAGCGTAAAAAGAATAAGGATTTCACTGTAATTCAGCGATAAAAAGTATTATTTTTAATGAATTATTGATAATCCATCTTCAGACACACTTTCACGCTAAATTTAATGTTTTTGCAGGAGGAAAGCTTGCAAATGGTGCAAATCATGTTTATCCATTTTCTCACTCTAATAGCTTGAATTTCACGCTATTAGCGTGAAAATCAATCCTCCACGCCAATAGCATGGATTTGAAGCTAGTTGCGTCAAAGAGAGCTGATTCACTGAGTTTTCACGCAAATGGCGTGAAATCCACGCTAGTTGCGCCAACTAATGGCAAAGAATCTCACGCAGGTCGCGCAATCCCACGCTAATGGCGTGGAAATGAAGCTAACCGCGTCTACAAGTTGGGAACTCCCTGCCAGTTCACGCGATTAGCGTGAAAGTCACGCTACTTGCGTCAGCAATTTGAAACACTTCATGCGACAGGCGTGGAATCGGAGCTGATTGCGTCGGGCGTCGGTTTTTGAATCTTTAATTCCGTGATTGCAAATTTAAATGAAAACGGAAAGAAAAATCAAATCTCTCTGAAGATTATGACCTGATTGAATTTCTGGTTATAAAAGGGAGTCAGAAATTCAAAAGAGAGAACTTTTTGGGGGCGCAGAGAAGAACACGAAGGCAGAAGGCGGAGCAAGTTTCTTCTCCAAATTTTCTGGTTATTATTCTTTTATGGATTCTTTTCAATACTTAGAATTGTCAGACATGAATATGTCTGGCTAGTCTCTTATTATTGTGGTAAGGGTCACAACCCTTGATGTGAACCCCTTGTAGTTTGGTTAATTTTTATATTTAATTATTTCAATTGCATTTATTTTATCCTGTTCTTCATCTTATAATTCTTCTAGAATTGATCACTCTATTAGGATTGCTTTCAATAGGAATATTGAGATTCTAGTTCCTGACAGAGGGTAAAATAACAGTTCATGTACGCACTAGGGATAGGCTACATGAACTGCAAACGTGAAAAATTCATTGGTTTTAAGGATTAACTTGAAAAGGAATTTCTAAGGGATTAGGGTTCTAATAGGGTTAATAAAGTTAAGATCACTAAGGAATTAGGGCTTCACTAATTAATTGATAGATGGTGAATTGTTTGATCAATGGGTAAATAAATGTAAACATTAATGAATATTACAAGGTGGGGATCAGAAAGGTGTTGGCGTCCTTTACTGCAATAGCTTTTTAAATATTTTTCTCAACCTTAATCTTTTATTCTTAAGTTTTCAAAATCATCTTTTGAATTGTTCACAAGTTTTGAATAGTTCTCAATTTTTACAATCACAGACATTCTCAAATCAACTTTTATTCATCCAACAAGGAAAGAATAGTTAAAATAATTTCGGTGCCTCAATCCTCGTGGGACGATATTCTTACTCATCTTTTATTACTTGGTACGATCGGTGCACTTGCCGATTTTACGCAACAATCAGCCACAAGAACGTATGTATGCGTTCTGGATCCTGCCATCCCCAAACTTGTTTCCAGGGCATATTGGTAGAGTCATTCTCGTTCCTAGATATTGCCTCGTATGCAAACTTCAGTGAAAAGCTCCCATCTGACGTCTTCATACACATAATTTGGTCCTGTTCATCAGTATCAGAAGGAGGGAGGATATTGTTGATGCGAGCTTGGATGTGGACTGACAGAATATGTTGAAAAGCATCCCACAACTAGCTACCTGATGATGAAACGAGATCAGATACAACCACTTGGTTATCAACCCGCGTTGAGTTAGCAAGAGCATAGGATAAGAGAGCAGCACACCCCGGGACCCACAGGTCTTCCCAAAAATGAGTGGATTTCCCATTGCCTAGCACAATCTTGGTGTGTTTTAGCATCACCGGCCAGGACGAGACTGGCTTTCTAGAGAGAGGAGCTATTTCGCGTTGCAGTGATAGCAGGCAAGATACTAGGTTGCACCTTATATTTACTCCTTAATACTTTAGCCCAGAGCGCGTCAGGATTGGAGAGGATCCCGTATCCAACTTTCATAATAAATGCCCTGTTAAAGTCCTTCATTTTCCTCAGACCCAGGCCACCTTGATCTTTATTCATGCACAGTTGATCCCACGCAACCAGATGTGGGCGTTTAGTTGATCTAGTTGAGCCCCACACAAAACTCCTAATTTGTTTTTCAATCTCATCAAAAACTCCAAGGGGAACGACTGAGACTTGCATCACGTAAGCTGGTATAGCTAAGAGAACAACTTTAGAGAGAGTAATTCGACCAGCCAGGGAAAGACTAGTGTGATTCCAAGCATTAATCCTAGAGTGAACTCGATCTAGGATGTGACTAAATGTCGCCTTCCCAATTCTTCGTTGCTGAATTGGAATACCCAAATACTTGCCAAGGTCCAATGTCCTGGTAAAGCCCAACTCAGCATTTAGATCTGCGGCCAAAACATGGTTCACATTCCGTGAGAAAAAATATTTGTTTTTTCATTATTCACTTTTTGACCGGAAGAGGAACAGAAAGCGTCTAACACCGCAAAAATGGTCTGGGCCTGGTTATGGGATGCTTCTGCAAAAAGAAGAAGGTCATCTGCAAAAAAAGATGAGAAATGGGAGGGGCATTCCTTCGCAGCATGATTGGCTTCCAGTACTTTTGTTTTACTGCACATGAAATGAGATGACCAAGTCGCTCCATGCAAAGGACAAATTAATATGGGGATAAAGGATCGCCCTGTCTAAGCCCCTTGGATGGAAGAAACTCCTGAGTTGTGGATCCATTCCAAAGAACATTCATCGTGCAGGAAGAGACGCACCACATAACAAGGTTTATGATATTTGGAGGAAACCCCACATCCTGCAGAGTATCTCGAAGAAAGTCCCAACTAATTCTGTTATATGCTTTTTCTAGATCCACTTTAATCATCATCCAACCTTTAGCACCTTTCTTCGACCTCATGGAATGTATAATTTCCTGCACTATAATTACATTATTCGTTCCTTGCCTTCCCTTGATGAAGCTACATTGGTTAGGCATGACAATTTTGTCCACATGCTATTTCAAACGGTTAGCAATAAGTTTAGTAATAGTTTTATAAATAACATTACAAAGGATAATAGGCCTGAAGTCTTTAAGGGACTGGGGCGAGTCTGTCTTCAGGATCAGGCAAATAAGAGTTTGATTGATTTCCCGAACGTTGTGGGAATTGTCAGTGTGCAGACATAACTCCCGACAGTTTCCCATTGAGACTGAAAAAATAGACTATGAAGACCGTCCACCCCCAGAGCTTTATGGGGTCGCATGGAGAAAATTGTACCCCTAATCTCCTCATTTGAAGGTATACTACTAAAATAAAGACTGAACTCTTGCTCAAGGCTGGGAAAACAGCCTTTAATTGGAAGCCCAGGTCTTATAGAATTATCTTCTTTAAACAAATTTCTATAATACTCAACTTGCATATCCATCAGCACAGAAGGTTCCCCGATCCATTCACCAGCATCATTTTTCAGTGCATCAACGCGATGTTAGAAATTTTTTTTATGGGCAATATTAATTAATTAGTTTTGTATTTAAAATTAATCGGGTTAATGGATATTTCAATATTGTTATTGTAACTAGCCCATTGTGATCACATTGAATTGGGCTTCTAGCATCTGTTGTTATTGGGCCTAGTTGGGCAGCAGTGTAGGCTTTAGTGTGACCCTGGTTTTCCATGATGGGTGGACCCAGTGGACACAACTCTTTTCTGGGTTATTAGCTAGGTCTCCTCTCTAGCCTATATATATTGGAGTTAAGCTCCATAAGCCATCATGCTCCCATCGCTGAGGCTGCCTTTATCGAAATAGGTGATAGAGAGGAAGATCTGGCATGTAGTCCCTTCAATCTTTCGACTTTGTGACGATCCAATAAGGTACACACAATCCCAACTTTGATTTCATATTGTTTAAGTATTTTATAATCATATACATGATTCAGGGTTAAAATATTTCTATCATTTGGTATCAGAGCCTCTGTATATGATTGTAGAATCTATATTATTGAATCAAATAAATTGGGGTTTTGTTTTTTATATATATAAAGGTCGAAACTCTATGGATTAATTCATGAAATTTTTTTTATTGAATCAAGAACCTTTAAGGGTTTTTATTCAACATGTCAATATCTTTCCATAGATGTATAATATGCATATTTTTATGGAGCATTGAAGAAGAATTCGTATTTGAGAGTTCATTGCTCAAAAGTTCTAAAACTTTTCAAATTGATTGGACAATTTCACCTGAGTTTAATCTATGTTTGGATCGATGTTGATTTTCAGAAATAAAAAAGAAAAAAAAATTAATTAATTGAAAAGGTTGCTATATTTTTATGTAAGTTGCAGGATTTTGTCGTTGGATTATTTATTTTTTATGTTTTGTCCTATGTGATATATACACTGTTTGATATCCTGCACATTAAAAATTATTTAGTACCTTTCGTTTTTCTTTGGATATTCAATATATATGAAAACACCTGGTTGAATGCATTCTATTTGTTGTATCTTTAAATTTTTATGTTATGTTTTGTTTTCTCTCTATGGACTTGAAATAAACCAAGCCAGATATATTTTACATACTAATTATAACTAACCGATTTTCAATAATAATTGTTTAAGTTCTAGACATTGGGTGCATAAATCGTTGTATGTAATTCAATTTCCATGTACAATTGTACAATGTTATATGCTTTTTTCTTTATCATCGTTTTTCGTGTATTTTGGTATTAGGATTTCTTTTGGTGATTAGTGTACTAGTGTTATGCCAATTTTCATGTACAGTATTATATGCTTTCTTAAAAGATATTTATCATCATCCTTTTTTGCATATTGGTATGAGACTATATATCCAAGCTAGTGTATGCACTTTTTCCTCAAAATTTGCTTCGTGAAACGTGAATACTGAATAGTTGTTTGTTTTTACTGTAGATTCACATTTGACTTTGTCTTTAGGCAAAAATTTTGATACAAGTTACTAGAATCGTCTGCTATTGTTGTTCCGTTTTTTTATCAATTCCGATTTTTTGGTCCCACAAATTAGATGTTTGTTTCAAGAAGATATGATCTTATCCTTTGTATATAACAAATCGTATATAACAATTCCGATTTTTAATGGAGTAAACTAATAATAAATAGAATATAATAAAAATAGGCTATTTATATAATAAACTGTATATATCAATTCCGATTTATAAGGAGATGTAACAATCATCATTTTAGCCTATTCTGATTTGTGCATCGTCATATAATTATCAATTCCGATTTTTAAGAATATGTAACAATAAAATATATATGGTTGTTTGTTTTGTTTTAGGGATATACCGTTTGTGATTATATATATATATATATATATATATATATATATATATATATATATATATATATATATATATATTATAAAAACTATTAGATAATATGTATATATATATAATATTCCTTTAATTGGTATATTATATGATTCGGCCTATGACTCAGGTATTTTGACCTTTTTTTTGTCCCTCATTAATTAATTAATAACCAATTCGCCCCTTCCCCAGAACTATCCACCATCCTGCCCCCATTTAGTCGATTAAGTTGAACTTTTAATCGATTAAATGGGCAAAATTCAGAAATCAAGAAACACGAATTTTAGTCTACTAAATATTCACCTTGATCGACTACATGTCGAGCACATTTAGTCGACTAAGGCCATTATTTAGTCGACTAAATATCGCAGAAAACCCTATATCCAGACCTCTCTCGGTCTCATTTGCAATATTTTCGAAATCAAAACCCCTCTTTCTTTTGTTTGTCAGTTGTGATCCTTCCAATCACCCTTCCATTTCATCCCACCATCTCTAAAGCATAGTATTTGTGAAATCATTGTCATTTCCCTTATTTTCTGATTTGTTTCCCCCAAATCCGAACCCAAAACCCTAAAATCCGATTCCTACCCCCAAATTCGTGTGAAAGATGAGCTCAAGTCCAAACATGTATGTTACCATGATTTACTATGATGGAAAGTATTATGAAGGCCCCAACGGTGTTCAATTTGAAGGAAAAACGAAAATGTTGAAAATTAAACGGGGCACTACGTACAATGAGCTTAAGGGGAGGATTCACCAAAAATTGGGGCTACAAGGCAGCCAGTGCGTTCAACGGATGATCGCCAGGGTAGAGTCTACAGTTGGTAAGGATGCTATATTCTACATTGGTAATGATATTTGTGACGATGAAGATGTGGAATGTGTTATAGATGCAATTGTGGACCGAAAATTTCAAAACTTTATCGAGATATATGTTGAAATAGACTGTGGTCAATCTTCATCTGCACCTATGCATGAAAGAAGTCAAAGTCAAGAAGACAGAGTGGTCGATTTATCTGCTCCTGCACCTGTCTTAAGTCAGATAACACTGAGGGAAATAGACGAGGATGAGGATGAGCATGAGGAGGATATGGACAGTGAAGACGATGGTGAACCTGAGAGTGTTATTCCGCTGGGTGACACCTCAGATACGGACGTAGAGGGGAATTTTGACGCTGACACTAGTTCAGGAAACTTGAGTTCCCAGGTGATGCCACCACTCCGTGTCGGACACCGTCTCCTTGTCATCCTGGTCGGACACATCAGCCCCCTGCCCTGCAACATCCTCAACCTGCTGCTGTCCTCGTCCAAGCTCTAGACGAGCAAGCCTATCTTCAACACCCTTGAACCGTCCCTGTATATGTCTAAACCTTTCATTCCCTTTCTGGATGTGACTCTTCCTCTATTTTTTGTGTTTCAGCGCCATTTTTCCTATTTTCTTCAGCGTGGCGTTTATTCCCTTCATGACATCACGCAATGAAAACCCACCTCAGGCTCAGCTATCTCCTGATGGTCACCCTCATCATCATCGTCAGCATCATCCTCCACCTCGGGCTCAACCATGTCTGCAAGTGGAGCAACATCAGGAACCTCAACATCAGCCGCGCCTGTGAACTGCCACACTCCTGTTTGTATGTTCTTTGTCATCTTACACTGCTCCAGTAGACACTTTCCAAACCTATGATTATACCCTGTGGTCTTCTTCAAGGTCACATTGCCTATGGGAACACCAAAGTGCTCTAATATCCTCTGAACAAGACAAGCAAATGGAAGTGCACCCTTGTGTTTGGCCTTATACATCATCCAACAGATGTAGTGCCTCCAGTTCACCAAAGTACCATGTCGGATAGCCCACATGATGGGAATGTCATGTTCCAACACCCTGGAATGATTGAACGCTTGCGGAAACAGAATGTGGGTGATGACATAGTGTAGTATACGGGACTCCACAGTAAGCAACCCACCGTATAGGCAATGTGTTGCCCACGGACTATTCTCTGCTCCTGCACGACATCACCTCGTGTATATCCTGGAAGTGTGGAGCCGCTATCTGCGTCATATTCCACAGTGTCCGCAGAATCAAAGTCATACCCCAGTAACTCCAACCATACCGGAGCCGTCATGATGATCTCCACCCCGCAGACCCTCGACCTCAGCTCACCCTGTACGTAGCAGAGGTTATGGTAGAAGGCCCGTACATGCAGCTCTGAATATGAACACGACAGTTCAGCCAAAACCCTAAGATGTGCTCCCTCCAACCACCTCACAATGTTAAAACCTTCTGCTTAAAAAAATGTTGTATCAAGTGATTTGGCCCCACATATGGGTCGGTTAGCAAAGTCACAGACAAATGAATCATGAACCACGGGGTCATACTTGAACAAGTATTCGAATGGGAGGTCGACATGAGCGGGCTCTTCATCTTGTGGCCTTGACGAAGACGGACGGTCTTGTCGTACCTTCTTATGTCTCTCATTTCCCACGTTATCCGATCTTCTACGCCCAGCCATGGGAACAACGGTACCTACAATGCAAGTGGAAACAATATCAATGGACAATAACAATATCAAAAAATTTTAAAA